ATTATTATAATGATTCAATCGATAGTGATTTTTTGAATATAGATTCGGGGACCAATGGTGGGGAAAAATAGATAAAGGTATACACCTTAACCCCAAAGACTATCATTTGTTCAAGTGCCATTAAGACTTATGTTGATCTAGATATGACGTATGTTGTTTTTCTGCTATAAAAAACTATGTCATCATTTCAATTTCAAGCAAATTACACGATAAAAGATGTTTTGACATCAATTTGGAGCAAAAAAATATAAACCCGAATGTTGTTGAAAAGTAAATTCCGATAATTCTTCGCATCGATCTGATGCGAAACTAAAAAATCAAAATCATAAAAATCAAAATCAATTGAATGAAAAAAGGGTGATAGTTTTAATAAAAAAGGATTCAATTAACATAATGTCTACTAGTTTCAAGACAAGTTCCGATAGAAACTTGGAGTTTTCAAACTAATTTTATAACAAATAAAAAGAGAATTTTTCTTTGATATAGTGGTTCATAAAACAAACTTAGAAAGAGTACATTTTTTCTCAAGTTTTAAAAGTTAATCCTCGAAATAATGAATGCAGAGAAGTAAATGTCTCTTACTTTGCATTCGCTTCAAGTATTTTAAAATACTTATCCAAGTCTCATTGTCGTGGGAATAACCTCAACAATTATGTATATTATATGCTTGAGATGAAAATATTCTAAACTGCCGAGCTGAGCTGAATGTGTAAAAAATTCGAGTCGAACGAATTGATAATTAAGCGCAAAAAGTAAGTTTTACGAACTCGGTTAGATCGCAAGAGACAATGGAAGTTAAACAGAGAAGAAAAAGTGGTTCTCCCGAAGCAAAATCTAGATTTTTCGAGTGAATGAGCACTGATTTGATAATTTTCACGAGGCCAGAAATTTATATGAGGAAAAAAGAAGAAGAAGAAGACGGCGACGACGAAGGGAGGCAATTTGCTAATTTCACTGAGAATATATCCAGTGCAGTCAGCGGTATATATTGCCGCGCGTCGAGAGATATCATAATGAGTTACATTATTCTCAGTCGAAGAAGGAAGATTTACTTATGAATGGGATTTTTCTCTCCTCTTGCGCGACTGATCTGCACTCTGCTGCTGCTTTCTCATCTCCATTGAATAAAGAAGGTGTAAATGTATGTACGTGAAAAAGCGCATCTCGTTAGTCAAACCCCGATACGACGACATTTGCTTCTTGATCATCCGCGCGAGTATTTGTTATGCACCGACTGTTCCATTTTTACTACTTCTTCTTTTTCTTCTCGTCAACATCTCGTACCTATTTTGCTGTGTTTTTTTCATTTTTTTTCTTTCTTTGTCATACGGCCTAATCGCCCAAGCAAAGAGTTGGTGCGGAACTACCCCCTTTTCCGCTGGCATTGTCACCTAGGATGAAATTAATATTTCCTCTCGTTTCTAAGAAAAGTACGGAATAAGGAAAGCCTTCTAGAGTATATATATATTATACGGGGCGCGCGAGAGAGTGGAACAGCCCGAGAGAAAGATAGACAGAGGTGAAAAGTTCGTGAAAATTGTCCAAGCAGAATAAAATTCCTCTTCCTGAAAATTACTGCATAATTTTCCGTCCTGTTTGCATTCAGCTGTGTTTTATAGGCTTTTTCGGAGCGAGCGACGCCTTGCTCGGACCGTATGAAGTAGTACATTTACCAGCCGTCATTCAACGCCGACCGACCGACCGACTGACTTCGGAAACGCTCCAATAAATGTTAAGCGGTCATTTTACCTTATCTAAAAAAAATCGTACTTCATCTCGATCGGAATTATATGCTCTCTTGTACTACGAACATTTTTAGCTTTCATAAGGATTTGAAAATCAAATAAAAATTTATTTGCTTTATAACCCGATCGTTTGACTTCGTTTTATTGCCGACATCATTTTTTTTTCTTTTGAAACGTGTTGATTGAGATTCTTAGTAAAAAAAAACTTGCCAGGAGATTGAGAGAGAGATAGAGAGAGAGAAAGAGAGAAAGAGGAAAAGGAATTTTAATGAAATGTAAAAATTTTTATCTTACCACGGAAGTTTACGAGAATCATTTTTCTGAGCAATACTTCGAATCTATTATTGAATCTTCGATCTTTCATATAAATTTTTTTACATTCAAATGTTTTGGAAACACAAATGAAGCTATTTATAAAATTCATAAGTTTTCATTAATCTTATTGTTCTCAGATTAAATTGAGTAATTAGTAACTGAATTTATTATTTCAAGCTGTTTTTCAGGGGGTGCTAAAAGCGGCATCTGAAATATGAGTGTTTCTGACTAACTTTTAAAATTGCACGTACTGATTTTTTTAGGCGTTATTTTAAAAGTTAGTCAGAATCACTCATATACGTAAGCGTTTTTTTTTCGAAATATCCAAATTTCAAATATATAAATCTTGAGCTTAACTGATATTATAAATAGACTTTTTTCTGCTATATAATCCGCTTGAATGATGAAAAATATTTACATCCAGCAAAAACCGTTGATGCACTGGTGAAAAGTTATCAGAGCACGAGTTTCATATGTACGGAAAAAATGTTGTAATTTTTTAAAAATAAAATCTGTTAAATATCTGAAACACAAAATATTCCCATTGGTATATTCACTGATAAAAAGTTCTCCGGTTAATGTAAACACGCATGAAAAGATTTATAATCTAAATAGCAATTTGTTCGTTTAGTATTTTATAATATAACATTCATACGCATCTGCTTATTAAAAATTCGTTCGAGTGAAAAATTGCACGGGGCCAAAGCTCACCGAAATTATTACGATGTAATTTTTATAATGACGATAAAGAGTCCTCTCGAGAATAACAGACAAGAACGTTGAAGGGAATAAAAATCAGTGGGAAAGCGTATATATTTGAGAAAAAAGAAGCTGCTCCTCCGCAGTTGCCCAGTTGGTAAGGAGCTCCAAGCACGGGGGAGAGTTTATGCTCCAATTACCCCGTTCGCAAAACCCATTCATAAATATACCGAGTTGTAATATTTATGGCTGTGCGCGTTGTGTTCTAGCAAACAGAGAGAGGGTAGATGCATTATGAACTCGCGCAACTGGAAAAGACCATTTCTATTATGTGTTTATTTATAAACGAGCCGCTTCCATTGTCCACATTAGAGATTGCTCCTATTCGTTCGTTTAAAAAATTGAATTAAGCATCAAAATTTGAATTCCGGAAAAAAAGAGGAGTCACGTCTTGAAAAGTGTGCCTTTCAACTTTTTTTCTGGGCCACCCACATTCATAGAATTTCACGCTGGACTCTGGGGGCTTAGAAAATGTGTCGAAAAATGTCTTATACTTTCTCTGGCATAGTTAAAAAAGACCAAAAAGTAGTTGGAAAATATTTTTGGAGCCACACAACATGCCAGAGTGTAAGTAGCATATACGATTCCCTCAGGTATATGGAAAAACAAGAAGTTTCTTGTGTGCGTCAAAAGAAAAAAGAAGAAGAAAAATAAATGAAAACCAAAAGTTTCGTACTTTTTCACTACATAAGCATAAATATTTGGACTTGAAGTTCGTACGATCGACATCCTGCGACGTTGTTACGCGCCTTTTATTTTCCCACCAAGAGTATCAGATTTTATATAATGAATGAATCGCAATCGCGTCGGGATCGAAAAGCCTTTGATCAACTTTAAAAGCCACTAATTCACCTCCTTCTCGTAATCCGCTCTTCGCATACGTACACGCGGTACACAGATGAAACGGAAGCTTTGCCAAAGCAATCGAGAAATAATAATAAAAAAAAAAAAAAAAATTAAAAAGAGAAACCAGAACTGTTAGGAGAGGTTCTCTATACGCTCCGCGCGTACGTAAGTATGCACTTGATGCACGTAATACAAATTACATTCATGTGCGTTTACCTATGTATGAGCCCCCGAGACAAGAGTACTAAATGAACTTTCGAGTGCACTGCATGTACCTATACGTAAGTTGCAGACTCATATACATACGTACAAACACACGTACGTACGTAAGAGTCGGATATTCTCTTTCTCTGTCCCTTACCCTCCTTCGTACGTACGTAGGGGTGCATAGACCAGCTGCTGCGCGTGTTCGCGTTTATAAATACTTGCATCGCCGCTCGATGCGTTTAATACACATCTAATACAGAGCTCGCACGCGGGGAGCTCGTTTATAATAAGCGTTTCGAAAATCTAACGTCGTTCGTTTTTCGAAAGCACACACACATGCGTGTGCTTGAACGGCACGAGCTCCTCGTTGTTATTGTTCACTCGAGCACCGAATTTAATAGTGTATACACACTCAAACTTCATAATACAATGACAATAGAAACGCGGTTACGAAATCATTTACACGAACTCACGGATTTGACAATATTTTAATTGTGTTCTTTAAATATTATGTAGCATTAAAATTCAGGGAAGTTTGAGATAATAGTGTGCTCGATTATAGAATATAGAAACTAAAGACTCTTTCGTCATTTGTACGGCTCTCTCTCTCTCTCTCTCTTGGTTTTCATTAAAATGGCAATATATATTACGCACCGGTTCGTGTAAATAAACACGGAAATTTCGTATAATGATGTTTAATGATAATATTGTGCCAATTGACTTGGGTACACACGGTTATAACGCACACATAGCTTGATTTATATTGATCAACGAGTATACGCGATACACACTTGTATCCGATAAATGATTGTATATATATAGCAAATAACCCAAGCCGAAGTAATCCTTATCAATGTTATAACACGTATCTTATACGGCTGCTTATTACAGCATAGCGAGACTCTCGTCGTTTAATGACGCGAATTCTCGTAAAAATATTTTTCATGTTATTAAAAAATCACGGATTCATTGATGTGGAAAAGATATCGTAATAAAATAAAACAGATTTGTCAACTTTTCGAACTAAAAATTTATTCGTACAAACTTAATAAGTAAATAATAAATAACCATTATCTAAGTATAAATTGGGTCATCGTCGCTTACAGCAACGAATCGGGGATAATTTATAATATAAATTATTATACTATGCAACAATTTGCGTTTCAGTCTTCGATCATATTCTTCTTAATCCAAGGAACGTAATAAGAAACTTTCATGAGTAAACTTGGATACTTGTCCTCGCCGCAGAAGTATGAACCTTTGACGATTCCAATCAGACGATTGTTCTGTACACTGATGGCTGGCCCACCCGAATCGCCCTAGGATACAAAAGCGATCGTAATATACAAAATTGGAATCTCACCCAAAAGTCGTGTAAACGATGTGTAAAAAAAATTTATGTATACATACATTGCAGGAGCTTTCCTTTTTAGGACCTCGGTAGCAAAACATGCCCTCGTCGATTCGCGTCACTCTATCCCATGTAGCTACGCAATCCTTAAAGTTGTGGACATTGGCCATGGCCATTAACATATCATTCGGTAAACCAGTGATGTTGCTCTAACGATATACAAAATAAAAGGGACGAGAGATAATTAGCCGTCGTTGAAAAACTTTTATAAAAGTTCGTATTTTATAGGTTTTCTTTTTCTTTTCTTACCCCTCTTCTTCCCCAGCCGGTGATGATGAGTTTATTGCCTTCGTTGTAATAGTTATCTGTCGTCGCTAATTCGATTGGCTTGACTTTGTCTTTGAACTCGATATCCTGGGTAAGGCGAATCAGGGCAATATCGTTGTGCTGCAGCGTCTTGTTTTTTTTCTACGACGATCGGATTTTGAGACGATGAGATCAAAAAATTTCGCCAGACAATTTTCGTAATTCATGAGAGAAATAAACGTCGACTTACCACGTCTAATAACTTTGGTGTATACTTTTCATGCAGTATAAGCGCTTCCGCGTTGTAGACTGTTGCATCTCCATCTCTCAATTGATTTGTTCCTACTGTGACCTTTATCGCCTGTGTATCATTTGTGAAACTAAAAATAATCGAATGAAGAATTGCTTCTTGGCAGCCGCGATGAATTACTAAAGATGATTATAATTATACGTACTCATAGAGACAATGAGCTGCGGTGAGAATGTAGCGCTTGTGTATGATTGAGCCTCCGCAAAGGAAACGTTGGTTATGCCGCAACTGAACATTATGAGGAAACTGACCATCGCGAGCTTTAACTCCTTGAGTTACTCTTGAAACGACATCGTCGTCTTCTTCGACTGGCAGTACCGAAGCGTCTGCGGGTGTGGCACGCCCAAGTTTTATTTAGCACTTTGAAAAGATTTAAAAAAAAAAAAAAAAAGAAGAGAGAAAAGAAAACACAAGTGTGAACTTACCGGCAATGGAGGCCGTCAAAATTGTCGATAAAACGAGTATAAAGTACAACAACATCGCGACGTTTTATTTCCACTTTTTTTTCACCGTCAAACAAACTGTGCATCCGAATTTATACTGCTGAATCGTTGTCGACCACGGCACATCGCGATAAGAAATTCGGGCATTGAAATTAGTCTAATCGAGTGCAATAAGCTAAATTCGATCTCTTACTGAACTGTAAAATTAATGTATTAGCGATTTCTGCGCGCACGGACGTGGGAGCGGCGAAGCGATTATAAGCTTAATGAACGTGAAGGCCGGAGCGAGTGCGCGCAAACTTTTTGACAAATTTTATTGATATAGTATACCGCGAGAGATGCAGGAAAAACGTCGCTGAAATTGGCGAATTTCGTTTATCTACGGTTCAAAGGGTGCATAACGAGCCACTAGAGAGGGACGGCGTATAATAAACGCACGGTGTGGTTTTATAAATGTATAATCATAAAATTAGCATCGAATCCTGAACAATCGCGAATTCGATCGGGCGTGCGATAGGCTCGCAGCCGTTTATAGCGTCGAGCACATACGCCCCAACAAAAAGGTGCTAGGACATATCGCGCTTATAATATTTTTTGTGTAAATGCAACCGATGACCATCGAGAGCGGCAGCAAGAATCAAACGGAGCGGGACAAGATTTACTTGTCATATATGCGACTCGTCGATCGCAAGCTCGTTCGCATATCGTAAAAGCTCACGTCTATGGATCAATTTTTGTGCAGCGTAGGCAGTCTTTTTTTAACCCTCCGAAATCCAACTTGGAGACTCGACGTCTGTGTATGTATGTACGTATAGAAGGTCGTCATTGCGAGCATACGTTGCAACAGCAGCAGCCGCACCATGTAGGCATGCGTATTTTTGGTATTTTTTCCTCGTTCGGCAAATTTTCGTCCGAGCCGGGCCTGGAGAATGCCCGAGGGACGAGGCACTTCTCTCTCGTTTCCCCAAAAAACGAATCATCGACAAAGCGAAACGCAGCTCGCGACCGTATACATAGGTATGTGTACGCTCTACGGCGCAGTTTTAGCTCGTGCTCGAATATTACTCGCCACCGTCGCTGTTGCTGCTACCGTATAAACTACTACTGTATACATGACTATGATAGTCGATTGCCAAAAGAGATTCAGCTTGTAGGTACTCAAACGAACTAACCGGCTCGACGCGTGTATCTCTGCCTATACATACACGCATATACACATTGGCCATGGCGCAGCGAGGGTTCATTTCCATGGCTTTTTCCCTCTTCCCGTCTCTCTCTTATATCGGAGTGTATAACGCAGGCTGCCGACCGAGAGAGAGAGAGAGAGAGAGAAAATATGCCCTCGAGCCGAATGACAAACGAAACAGCCTCGTGTCCGGGATATATTCGCCGCAGAGGCTCGTCGTTTTTGTAACATGGTCCCGTGCACGTCCGATGCGTCTAATTGACACCAGAGCGTCTAGCTCAATTTACACGAGAGACTCGTATTAAAGTAATTTTTTTGTTCCTCCTCTCTTTCTGTTTCTCTCCGGTCCGCATTCGCGTTCAAAGCTCTACACCGTACCGAGCTCGTCAAATCTCTATACATAGTCCGGCTTCGCGTCGTGCGTGCGCGCACTGCACAGGGGTTAGTAGCTTACGGCGCGGAAGGGCATTTATTTCCTTCTCTCTCTCTCCTTCTCTCTAGGAAATACACTGTTTGCACATTTTGCGTGAAGTAGGAAACGAGCAAAATTGTTGTTGCGCCCGCATAGCCTAGATGTAGCCTACTGATGCTGCTGCTGCTGCGTAAAAAGAGGAGAAAAAACGATGAACCGGTGACGAATGTTTGTCCCGTGCCAACGTTTGTGCGGCATATATACGTGAAAACGTGATACGCGCGTCGCGTACCTGCAGCTGCAGCTCTGCTCGCTCGCGAAAACTAGGCGCACTGAATTTTCGTGATAAAACTTTGACAATGAGAGGCACGGCCAAGCGTCAGTAGTAGCGAGCCTCGCGGACTCGGCTGGTGTGTGTGTGTGTCTGTGTGTGCAAAAGTTTTTCATCGAGTGAGATTTTTCAAACTAGCGATGCTATCGTTGGTAGCGAGCGCGCGCTAGCTTTCCGCGCCGGGTCCGAGTCATACACCCACACACACACACGTTTGCGTATATATATTTGCAGTGGAAAAAAAGCTCCACTACGTGATAATGTGTGACCTGCCGCCACTGTTTATATACACACTCGGTGTAGGCGATGGTACACAAACGAATAAAAATAAAGAGAGAGAGAGACTGACGGACTGACAGATGTGAAAAAATGGCACGATTTTTAACTTTTAACGCTTGCGTGCGCCTACTACCCTACGCACTAGATATATATGATTTTTTATTAAAATTTATTCTCCCATTCGATCGATAAAAAGATGAACTCTCGAAATAAAAGAGAGAAAATTTATTTGAATCGTTCTCGTTTTCTTTCGACTGCGTTATTTTGCCATTACGATCATGAATAGATTTATACGTAAGCAAAAAGAAACGAGTCTGGTAGACGCAGGCAATTTTACCAACAACACACAATGTATCTGGTTTTAGGGAAACCTCAGTTTCCTCGAAGAAACCCTTACAGCGATCGTCTGGCTCTTGTCTGCGCAAGGAAACTCGCTCGCACGGTACATTATAATGGCACGTGTGCGTCTCAGGTATATATACCTGTACCCCTTACGCGTGTATGTATATAAAATAATGCGAGCACTCGGTGATATTTTCCACCGTGACGTAAATCCACCCAATTCGAGCGACTCTCGCGTGCGCACATAACGCGTATATATACGTTTATACACAATGTACGCGAAACCGTCGTGTGTACTTACGTAACGCAACGAGGAGCTTTGATGTAACCGAGAGCGCATGTTATAGCTACCTATAACATTGCTTGCTGTGCGCAGCGCAGTTGGCAGCTTGCAAGCTCCAAAGCAGCCGATTTTTTAATGCGTCTGGTCCAGCGCACAAAGGACGTACAATGCGACGACGATAATAATAATAATAATAATAATGATTATGCGTTTGGCACGAGGCGTCGTCACGACATGCAGCTGTTATATTATCTCAACTACAGGATCGTGAGCGACAAAAGTGAGTTGGGTATACTTTATTGATATTAACTTTTTAGCTTTCAACGTGGCCAGCTGTGTAATTACTTGGGCAAAAGTCTGGAAAAATCAGCGCTGTCCGGGTCAATTATACGCCGCGCGTTTACCGCGCTTCATTGCGCTGACGAGTCACGCGGCTAATAGGCTCGACCTTTTGAAACAATCAACGTCGCTGTCCCGCCGAAATTTGCCATATCCTTTCTCATTACGATGCAATATAGCCGAGCGCAGCGCACCTGTAACCGTAACTGTTGCATCCGCGTACGTACTCGTGAGGTAAATCGAGCGCAGGTGACAAAATACGCGTGTTTTTTCCTTTTGAAATCCGCGTAGCGCACTGTCAGCTGAATCTCCAAGCCGTATGTACATGAAATTCAAAATATATACGTATCCATATCGAATGCATAATTCACCGAGCTCGCTGCAGCTCCCGTATTATATATTACAACGGGTGCATCCAAAAGGTCACTCCCTTCCGCGCGCTCGTCCGAATCCACTCGGGCACACACACTCACACACACATGTGCGGCCGTACGTCTGTTTTTAAAACTTTCCCTTGCTGCAACGCGAATGGTACGCATCCGCGTATATATACAATGCACTCTTTTGAAAAGCATTCGAAAGCTCGCATAAATGCAAAGCTCGTCGATCGAGATGCTCTATGAAGTAATGCGTATCAGTCGGAAAGGGAAATGAGTTTTCATTTTCTCGCTCGACTGCAAAGTTTAATCACTAACAAAGTTGAAGTCTTAAAAACGATCGTAAATAGACTTTTTGAAGCGAGCGCCCAATAATTATTAGCATCCTCCCTTCACCCTTTCGATTCGATCGCGCCCTCCTCATCTTCTTCTCGTTGCATTTAGCAACAACACCACCAACGATAATAACACGATACACGATATGTCGATTTAGCTTACATTTGATCCGTGCGGAGCGTAATTTTACGCTCGCGTACAATAGCCGATGCATACTACGCTCATGTATACATTGACAACGAAGGGGGGGGGGATATGTCCGTTGTCCGGACAGAAAAGCTTTCACCCCTTTAGTTGGCCTCGACGTGCTTTCTCATTAGCACTACTGCCATACATTACTCTTTTCGAATTTACTCGAGGCGCGTAATAATAAAATGGCCTCGACGAGCTGGACTCTATATTGTTCTGCAACTTTTGCACTCCCATTGACGAGAGTTGCACTTCGATTCCTGCGCAGGAATCATTTCCTGAAATCTTTTACGATAACGAAGCAAAATAAAAAGAATAGATTCGCATCGATACGCTGGAGTGCTTCCAAGTCTCGGCAAAGTATTAAAATCTTCGAACAACGAATAAAGTAAAAATACGTATAATAATTGTACTCACGAGGAGTGGCGGCGACGAGGAGGGTCGAGGATCGTTGTTGCGCGAAGCCCAGCAGCAGCAGTAGAGCAGCGGCGCCGAGAACGAAGCCAGCTCCTAGATTCTTCCTCATATCCGAAGAATGTGTGCCAGGGGTGTAGGCTCGCGGTCCGATCACATGATACGCGGTCTCTCGTCGACGATCAAGCCATAATTACCGCAACTCGTATTGTCGTTGTCCCGCCGATAATGACGCACCGCTGCCTCGAGTACTCCAACAACAACGAGCTCCAGTGATCTCGTCGATTTTCTCCAGGCGTCGTCTCGTTCATCGTAGCGTCGTGACTTTTCCGCTCATGCCCTCGTGGCGGCGGCGACGGCGGCGTCGGCGACCGTCTCTGAAAGCAATATAAAAGCGAGTGTTTATCAGCAGCTCGTTTATAGGTATATATAGCGACGTATACAGCAGCGCCGAGGCTATATATCGAGCTTTTGTCGGGTTGCGCTTGCGACGAGAGACCGAGCGAGCGTCGCAGACTACTCGTGCGTGCGCTACATTAAACGCTTCGA